TCTTTTTTTTTCTTTTTTTTCTTTAATTCATGCCACTATTTATCAGGCTCCAAGAGTCCCGCATTAATCCTTTAAAGTCCACCTACCTGTCCTTGCTACAAGAATGGACATCACCAGTTGGCCGCTCCCCTCCCAGTCTGAAGGTCATAGTGCAGCCAGAGTTACACCGGGGAGCCGGAGTCGCACCGTGGGGGCAGAGCAAAACTGAAGAGCAGACAAAGGAACGCGGATGCTCTCCCCCAGCTCCTTGGGGAGGGAGGCAGGGAAGTTGTCCTGTGGCCGACTGACAAAGGGGCTGGCGCCCTGAGCTCCTTTCCTCATAGCCTGTCCTCTTCCTTCCCCCCAGCGCTGAGCTAATCCCAACGCACTTTGCACTGCCTTCCCTTCAAGCCCCTCTCCATACCTTAAAGCACCGCATGGGAAATACAAGCGTTTTCTTGCTAAGAGACAGGACCAGCTGGCAACGCCTGGCTTGCACATCCTCCCAGGAGCGAGATGCAGCTAGGGCAGGAGTGTGGCTCCATGGACCAAGCCCTAACAGGTGCCTACAGGCACAGGCAGGCGCCGTTGGAGAGCCTGTTCTTATTCAGAAACCAGAACTGCCGTTTGCCTCGATTTCTCCGCTCCCAGCCCATGCTCTGGTGCCCACTACATGAAGTCTGTTGCCCAGGTAACAGAAGGACACAACATTTACACAGAGCCAGAAGCAAGAATAAAAAATAATAAGAATAATAATAAAAAAAAAAATCACGTGGGAAGTTGGTGGAAACAGGCCCTGCAAGTCTGCTCAAGGGGATGAAACGCTCCCATTCCCCAACCCTCCCGTCCTAGCCAGGGATGCAGCTATCGGTGTGGGAAAGCCTCCCGTGGTAGAGACAGAGCGGGGACCGTGCATGCCGGCGGGGGCCTGGGACTCTGGCCTAACCACAGGGCAGACTTGGGCGGCTGAGCATGGATGTAAAGAATTCCTGAGGGAGCTGGAGGGTGAAGGGGGAGCCGGCCCCAGCGCAGGCAGGAGGCAGGTGTTCTCCCTCAGCTCATCAATCCCTCCTCTGTTCCTCCTCTACCTTCCAGAGACTAATTTGCTGGCGGGGCCCCGGCGGTGGGGCCGTCTGGAAAGCTGCTGACGAGCTGGTTTACAGAGGAATAACTTCATTGGTGAAGCATCCCAACTTCCGCCAAAGAAAAAGGGGATTAGCCTTGAAAGGGAGCAGTCTGTGTGCAGAGCAGGGGAACTCCTGGGGCCGAGCTAAACCTCTTTTGTGTGAAGACACTGCATTTCCTAATTGAGGCCTAAACATTCCCATTCTGCGCAGAGTTTCTATTCTCCGGCGGCACATGGGTTTCACAGTCCTTCATTCATTACCGCTCCTTTATTTATTTATTTTTTTATTAAATGGCACCAGGAATCACGGGACTTGGTCAAGCATGGGGGATGCCAGCTCCCGAGACACTGCAGAGCAAGCGGCTCAGTGCTATAGAAACCCAGCGATGAGAAGCCAGCAACGGGGGGTGGCTGACGGAGATGGCAGGAGGGCTTGGGACAGGCACAAGGGAACAGTGACCACAGACAATGGAAGAGCCGAGGGACCGGGGCAGAATTAGACAGCAGTCTGGCAACCAGCGGCAGGGGGCCATATCAGCAGTGGGCATTGCCTCTTCCTCCAGGGAGCAGACCCATGTATAAAAACACCTCCCCAATTTAGGGAACAAGGAGGAGCAATTAGTGACAGAGAGTGGGGACAAGGCTGAGCTATTCAATGAGTATTTGCCCCGGTGTTCCTGAGATAAGACTCCTAATGGGCTCTTAGACAGGCATCAGAGGGACACCAACCCAAATACTGTTGATGCTGACTTGGTGCAGTCACTTGAATGGACTGGATGTGTTCAAGTCAGGAGGCCCGGATGAGCTGCATCCAAGAGTACTGAAGGAATTGGCTGGTGTCATAGCAGAACCACTGGCATGGCTGTTTGAGCACTCGTGGTGCTCGGGTCAGGTCCCAGAGGACTGGAAAAGGGCCAATGTGGTCCCTGTCTTCAAGAAGCGGAGGAAGGAGGATCCAAGTAATTATAGGCCAGTCAGTCTCACCTCCATCCTTGGAAAGGTCTTTGAACAGATTATGAAGGATCATATATCTGTGGGAGTCCAGCAGGAAAAATAATGCAGCAGGGCAACCAGCATGGATTCATAGCAGGTAGATCATGCCTGACCAATCTGGTTTCATTTTATGACAGGGTCACAAAATGCTTGGACGCAGGAGTAGAGGTGGATGTCATTTTCTTGAACTTTAGCGAGGCCTTCAAATACAGTATCTCATCCTATTCTCCTAAGTAAATTAAGAGGCTGTGACATAGATGTGTACATGGTCCAGTGGGTGGCAAATTGGCTTAGTGGTCACACCCAGAGAGTGGTAGTAGATGGGTCGGTATTGACCTGGAAGGATGTGGGTAGTGGGGTCCCGCAGGGTTCAATCCTTGGACCTGTGCTCTTCAATACCTTCATCAGTGACTTGGATGTGGGTGTGAAGTGTACTCTGTCCAAGTTTGAGGACGATACTAAGTTGTGGGGTGAAGGGCACACTCCGGAGGGTAGGGAACGATTGCAGGCGGACCTAGACAGGCTGGAAAAGTGGGCAGCACACAATAGGATGCAGTACAACAAGGACAAGTGCAGAGTGCTGCACCTAGGGCACAAAAATATCCAGCACACCTACTGGCTGGGCAGTGACCCTCTCAGCAGCACAGAAGCAGAAAGGCATCTCGGAGTCACAGTGGATCCAAGATGAACATGAGTTGTCAGTGTGACGAAATCATCAGCAAAGCTAACTGCACTTT